TTCGTCGTTAATAATCTTCTCTAATAAACTCTAAAACTGATGGAAGATATAATTTATTTTTGTAAATGTAATGAAAGAAGCAGCAGACAGTTTTATTGTGTTAATCTAATAATCTGTAATCCATCATCTGTGGAGTTATGAGCTGTTGAATGAGTGGAAGTGGATCAGAGATGGACCGACCCCCACTGCCTGCTGGGTAAAATAAAAAACAAGAGTTTCCTGCCGTCCTGTTGAGTGACGAGGTTATTTCTGTCCTGGATGAATGGGTTTGTGTTGGTGGAGGAAGGAGCGGTCGACAGAAACATCCGGACTCACATTCACACACGAGGAAATATTATGGACACACACCGTCACTGTGTGTTCACTTCCTGAGGCGTAAGTGTGTTCACTGTTTGAGCGGGTTTTTTATTCTCACTTCTCTCTGTGTGACCACAAAAACGTCCGGCCCACGACCCGCCCGTCAAACCGCACTTCTGTTTTTTCACACATGAAACAATCGAGATGTAACATGCGGATCAGCACGCAGTGACTGTGCTGCGCTCACACCAGTGTCATGTCAGGGCGAATTCCCAGTAAAACCAGTTAGTGTTAACCAGCTCTTTCCTCCCAGTTCAGTTCCAACACGTCAAGCTGTATTTTAATCATCAGTTGGCTCACTCGGTTCACACCCAGCGACTCATCAGAGTCACAACAGCAGCAGAAACTCCCTCTGACTCCACAGGTCAAACATAAAACTTTATTTATACTGACAGACGGAGACGAAACATTCACTGACTGGTGTTGGTCAGAAAAAACAATTGATTTTATCTTATTCCATTTCTTTTATCAACACTTAAAAAAAACAACAACGTTTTGGACAAAAAGATGAGAAATGAGTCATTTTCAACAAAATCAATTTCATATTTACATTTTTTGTTTTTCTAATTTCCTCACATCAGTCTGAATTCTATGAATAATGATAATAATAATAATAAATGATGAAAATAATATTCTCTTTGAGGCATAGCAGCGGAACACGTCGTCACTTTCAGGGATCGTTCAGTGTTCTGTCGTCTCCGTCTCCTCTGTGGTCGTCTTGTCACCGTCACGGTCAACATCTCCACGGCTTTAGTTTACAAGCTGCTACATTTCCATGAACAACATCTTCTTCCAGTGTCCAGCAGATGATCTTCTTCGTTTCATTTTGGACACTGCAGTGCTGTTCTATTTCACAAGATGTGTAACAGCACCCCCTGTCTTATAACTGTAGAAACACAGATTGACAGAATATCTCATCAGTGGTGGAGATAGTGTGAAGTTACTGCTGACGGAAACATTTCTTCATTTGCTGCTTCACAATAAAAGTTTTTACATAACAAAATAATGGGGGACTTTTATTGTGAGGAATCTACAGGAAATTAAATGTGTTTATCGCTGAATTAGCGGAACGTTGTTAGAAGCTTTTTTCAATAAAGACAAGTAGCAGGGAGGAAGAGTAAAATCATAAACAGCCACAGTGAGATGGTGATGATGATGATGATGGTGATGATGATGAAGAGCTGCACACAAACAGCTCACCTTCAACAGGTGAACTTCTTTTACCTGCTGTGCTCTAGCAGGGCCTGAATCAACTACTGATCATCAATAATCAATCTGCAAATAATCAGTTTGATAATTTGTTGGTTTCCTTGTTTTTTTTTTCTTTTTTACAGTTTTTAACTGAACTGACACTTAAAGACGTCCATGAGGACACATATAGACCATAACATCATCAGCAGATGATTCGATAATGAAAGTTAATTTTAATCTGAGATATCAGAATTATTCTCCCGTCAGGGACACGCAGGACATTATACGACAGTTCCAACAGGATGAAGACGAACCTCGATGAGTAAACTGAACTTTATGAGTAAAATCAGTGGAGTTTCCCTTTAACAAAATAAAACTCTTCTGTTGTCTCTGACCTGTGAGCTAGAGGGTGACACGGGAGTGGATTTTCAGTAGAGATATACTGATACCATTTTTTCCTTTCCCGATACCGATTCTGATCCCTGAACGTTAGGTATCTGCCGATACCGAGAACCGATCCAAAACCAGCGCATAAAATAAAAAAGGATGGGATATGAATTGTTGTATGTCTCAACTCCTAAAACTCTGTGTAAAATATTAAGAAATAAATACATAATAGTAGAATGAATGCCATAAAACTTTTTTTATTATTATTATTATTATTATCCAATGTTGACACAGATCAAGACACAGGTTAAAGTGCAGCCACACAATTTGGTAAAAAAGACATTTAAAGGCTACAGTAGAATGCTTTTTAAACTCCGCTCTGTTTCTGTTTTGTTTGCCTGTAGCGTGCATATGCGTAATGACGTGAGGCATTACATGGTATCGGACTGGTCATAGGCTGTACTCGCTGATACCCGATACCACATTTTAGGCAGTATCGGAGGCATTTCTGATACTGGTATCGGTACAACTCTGATTTTCAGTCCTGTGCCATCCCGCTCCTGTGTTGTGTTTCAGTTACAGTAAAAAATTCTTTAGTACTCCAGACTTTGCTGAAAGCTCTGTCAGGGTGATGTGCGGATCATTGTCCTTCACTTTCACTTGTAATGCTGCCTTCCCTAACTCCTCCCACTCCATTTTGGTGGCTGGCTGCACCGTGCGTCAACATCCATATACGTCATGCGCTGGTCAGGTGGCTGGTTGCTGGTTGGTTGCAGCCAGCCACCTGACATGAGAGAATAAAAATGAATAAAACAAGACAACAGATCGACCAGCTTTATGTTAAAAATAAGGAAATAGCTTTTATTCAATGTGGAACTGAATATTTGTAAATAAAAACTTGACTATTGTTATTATGATTCTCAGTCCCGCCCGCTCCCGTTGACTTTTTTCCCATCCTGTCCCAGTCACGTGAAGAATAGTGAAACTGATTCCCATCCCGTGGGACTCCCGAAAAAATGTCAGCCTCTACTGTGAGTATGGCTGGACAGTAAATACTCAGATACTCTACTGAAGGAGTACTTGTACTGAATTCAGATTATCAAGACAAAATATAACAAATAATGATGATGTTTTATTAAAGATGAATCCACCCAGCAGGATATAAAGTCATTAAAATGAGCGGCAACATTTAACTGATCGACACATATCATGTAAGTTACTCTGCAGAATGAGTACTTTTACTTTCAGTACTTTTATAAGAGTCAGATTTATCTTGACCTGTAACAGAGTGTGTCTACCCTGCTGTGTTCGTACAGTAAAAGCTCAGAGTACTCGGTCAGTGTTGCTGTTTACCTGAATCAGCTGATCCTCTGAGAGGAAGCTGAAGTTCATGAGGGGAAGTAGACGCAGAGTCCACGCTGAGGTTCAACCACTTCTCACTTTCATTCACAACTCCGACTTCATTTCCTCCTGACGGACGACTTCGTGTTACCGTCTCAAAGAGTGGGTTCATTCAGAGCGAGGCAGCGATGAGGAGCTGATGGAGAACGGACTCGTCTCAGCAGCGGCAGATAGGTGCGTTTGAATTAAAGCTAATTGTCCCGAGCCAGGCTGAAATGAGAGTAAATGAGGGAGTATTGATCCCTGAGGCGGCGCTGCTCGATGCAGCAGTTATTAATAGACTGTGAGGCTGTTGGAGGAAACAGAACCAACCACAGCGCTGCTGTAGAGACATGAATGAGACGCTGCTTTACATGTAGTTTGGATAGATGAGATCATTTGCATCGAGGGCGGGTTCAGCCGGTTCCTTTCTTGTTTACTGAAGGTTGTTTGTGTGGAATAATAACTATAACACTGTTTACTGTCAAAGTTTCAAGGTTCATTTGTCTTTGTACAACTTCTCCTTCGTACGGTGGCCAGCCAGGGCCAACACGCTGCAACAGCACCAAAACCTTTCTATAGTGAGAGGTACAGAAAAATCCAAAACGACCTCACCTTCTCAGGCCTCAGTCTAAAGAAGTGTGTGCTGACCTGATACAGTAGCTAACCTCAGACGAGTCAAGGAGCATTTCTGTTACGCCAGTAAGTGTCATCTTCAAACCTCTTTATGGCAGAACATGCACAAACTGTCTGGAAATAAGCCCTTTGTTTCTTTACTTGTAACCACATATTCAGCTTAAAAGGTCTTCTAACCTTTGAGAACTGAGGAGTCGGCTATAACATCCTGAAGACCTCCTTTTTCTTTTACCTATGTTTATGTTCAACCCTTAAATGTCATGGCGCAGCATGAGGAAAGGTTCATTGATCGGCTCTCTGATTCCCCCCTGGAGGACTGGTGTCAAGGGTTTAAAACGACCTCACAGATATCTGACATGATGGGACATGAACTCCCTGGGAGTCCAGCTCAGACCAAAGATTCTTGTTGAGACCGAACCGTTTTAGAACGTCACAGAGAAAAGTGTCAGCGGTGTGAACTGGCCGGTCTGAGATTGACTCAAGCCGGCTGATGATGTCACCTGACACTCAACTGGTTTTAAAGCACGTCACCTGTTTCAACAGCCAATCAGCTTGTAGTGAAGTCCGCTGGTCAAGTCAAAATGACCACAGACGGCATGTTGGCTTGCTGCAGCAGGTGCTCCTCTGTTTCTGTCCTCACAGTGTGCCGGTGTCAGACGGTGGGTCGCTGCTGCTGCTGGCTGTATGTGCTTATGCCCCGCCCACACACACACATTCTCACTGACTGATGAATTGGCGCTGGTTATTTATATTATTGTGGCGTATTGATTATGAATACAGTCCATCTGATGCTGGCTTTGTTTCAGCACTGGAGCCAGTATCTCACTATCACTATCCTCATTCAGATTTTAAGAAGCTACAAATTATATTCAGCCACAAAATAAGTCGTCCGTCATGCCTGCTGCGTTCATGTATACTGACCTGCTGTAGTTTAAAGAAGGAACTCAGAACAGGAACCAGAACTCTTGTTGCTGTACTTCATCAGCAGAACGAAAATAGGACCTGAAAGTCCTCAAGCAATGTGTGTTTGTGTTTGTGTGTGTTGTCAGGGAGCGTCCGGTGAACCGTCCTCCCGAGCTGCTGTACCCACAGGCCGACGTGGCGGAGCGTCTGGCGCTCGGCGGCAGCGACGATGCACTGGCCAATGGCACGAAGCCCGACCTGCAGGCAGCCAAGCGTCTGGCCAAACGCCTCTACAACCTGGACGGCTTCAGGAAGTCGGACGTGGCTCGACACCTCAGCAAGAAGTCAGTGTGTGTTTGTGTCCTGGTCACATGTTGAGTGTGTTCTGCTCTCTGATTGGTTGGATTCACTCTCCTGTTTGTGTCCACAGTAACGAGTTCAGTCAGATGGTGGCGGAGGAATATCTCAGTAACTTCAGCTTCAGCGGTCTGACCATCGATCAGGCGCTCAGGTCAGTGCAGCAACACAAAGAAACTTCAGCTGAACTCATCACATGTTACATTTATTTAAAATGAATAAAACCTGAAAACAAAAGAAACAACAGAAGATTAATTTATTAAAAACTAATTAATAACTCGATAACATGATGTTTCTACAGTCAGAAGCTTCACAGACTGTTTCTGAATGAATCATTTGTCCTGCAGCTCCGTCATCATCAATCTATAAAAGAAGCTCACATGAAACATCAGTCACATGCTGTTGCCATGACAACATAACAACAACAACAACATGTTTATTAACTCTCACTAATACACATCTCTGACGTCAGAAAATATCTGACACGTAAATTAAAAAGTCAGAAGAGTCGACTACAACTCCCAGGGTGCATCTCACTGACAGACAGCCAATCACAGAGCCGCTGCTGTCAGTTGGTGAATAAAGTTTTCTGTGTGTGTGTGTGTGTGTGTGTGTGTGTGTGTGTGTGTGTTCAGGACGTTTCTGAGCCGCTTCGCTCTGATGGGAGAAACTCAGGAGAGAGAAAGAGTCCTCGCTCAGTTCTCCAGGAGATACAGACAGTGTAACCCGGAGAGCCTCACCACTGAAGGTACCTGTCTGTCTGCCTGTCTGTCTGTCTGTCTGTCTGTCTGTCTGTCTGTCTGTCTGTCTGCCTGTCTGTCTGTCTGTCTGTCTGTCTTGGGCCAGTGTAAACTTTACAAACTGGTTTAAATTAAACTAAACAGTGGAGCAGAAGGGGCTTCAGAGAGCCGTCTCGTCTCGTCACCCCAAAACACATCAGTTTTCTTCCTCAACAAACACAGTGTGTACTGCTCTGCCCCTCCCACCTCCACTGTCATGTGACCTCCTTCATGTTCGGCTCGCAGCCCATCAGACACCCTTAGTCCGTACATTAACAAATATGATATCGTATTAATCACTTTGTCACAGCCGGGGGAGGAAGGGGTCCAGTTTGGGGACCTCAGAATTGTGTCTCTGCTCTTTGCAGATGATGTGGTTCTGTTGGCTTCATCACACCGTGACCTCCAGCATGACCTGGGGCAGTTTGAGTGTGACGCAGTCAGGATGAGAGTCAGTACCTCCAAATCTGAGGTCATGGTTCTCTGCTGGAAAATGGTGGATTGTTTCCCCCGGGGTTGAGAGAGTTACTGCCTCAAGAGAAGGAGGTCAAGTATCTCTGGGTCTTGTTCACAGTGAGGGTAGAATGGAGCGTGAGATGGATCGTGGTTTGGTGCGGCGTCTGCAGTGATGCAGTTTTTTTAAATTGCTGTATGCTGTTTATTTTAGGTTTCTTTACTGTTTTAATTTCCTGTTTATTACTACGTCGCACTATTTATTTATCACCTGTTTTTATGCTGTGTTACCACCAGTGTGTTTTATGGCTGCAGCAGGGGTGAAGAAGCCAAAGACAAATTTCCCACTCTTGGGACGATAAAGTTAATCTTGAATCTTGAATCTTGAATCTTGAATGATGGCACTGGGCCAGACTGTCGTGGTTCAGAGGGAGCTGAGCCAGTAGGGTGAAGCTTTCGATTTCCTGGTCCATCTGCGTCCCAACCCTCACCTATGGTCATGAGCTCTGGGTAGTGACTGAAAGAATGAGGTCACAGATACAAGCGTCTGAAATGAGTTTCCTCTGTAGGGTGTCTGGGCTCAGCCTTAGAGATAGGGGGAGGAGTCAGACATCTGGAGGGAGCTCGGAGTAGAGCCGCTGCTCCTTCATGTTGAGGTGGTTCAACATCTGATCAGGATCCTCCCGGTCCAGCTGGTAGGAGGCCCCGGGGCAGACCCAGAACACACTGGAGGGATTATAGGTCTCATCTGGTCTGGGAACACCTCGGGGTCCTCCAGGAGGAGCTGGAGGAAGGAGCTGAGCAGAGGGACGTCTGGAACACTTCACTCAGCCTGCTGCGTCTGAGACCTGGTCCTGAATAAGCAGCTGAAAATGGATGGACGCTGTGTTATTGTTTATCACTGATGCAGCGCCGTGATGGTGTCAGCACTGGTTGATGATGAAGATCACTGGTTCCCAACTGGTCCAGCCAGTCCAGATTCCTCCTCAGTCATTAGTTCAAGGTCCACATGGTTAAATACATTCAGCATCACACTTGTTGTTTGCTGTCTCTGTCCAATATCTGTCTGTTAGTCGCTCACTCTACAGCAGGAAACAGCCCTTCAAAATAAAAGCTCTGTGCTGGAAATTCACTGTAGTTAAAAATAAAGTGTGATTTTTTACAAACTTGACACGTTTGCGAGTCACTTGCTGTTCATCCAGAGTGGACCTGTGATCCACCAGTAAGGAACCACTGATGGAGACTGATGGATTTGTCAGATGGTGTCAGACTGACAGACACTTCTTCTTTGTATAAAATCAAACTGGTTTAAGCTCTGGTACCTGTCTGTCTGTCTGTGTGTCTGTCTGTGTGTCTGTGTGTCTGTCTGTCTGTCTGTCTGTCTGTGTCTGTGTGTCTGTCTGTCTGTCTGTCTGTGTCTGTGTGTCTGGAGTATCATGACTTTAACACTCTTGGCTCTCACCTGTCCCTCTGTGTGTCCCTCAGACAGCGTCCACACTCTGACCTGTGCCGTCATGCTGCTGAACACCGACCTTCACGGGAACGTGAGTCTGATTTTAATATTTCATACAAAGCATCTTTGATCAGTCCGTCAGTCAGCGGAGGAACAGGAAGTCCTTATATGGTGGAGTGAAGCAGCTCCACGTCCTCTGTGTCTGCTGGCTGATGGTTTATCATCAGTCCCCTCTGAGCTTCTGTCCATCACTTCTATCAATAATCACATAGTTACACTGATGTAATCAATAACAGCTGATCAGCAGAATGAACAGAGAAGAAGTTAATGACGGGAGCAGTTTGAGAGCGGTGAGGCAGTGTCACAGTCTGTGTATTGGAGCATTGATCATTATTGATATTATAATATTGATTATGTGCAGCAGATATCTGTGACAACACACACAATATGAAATGTAATTGTATCCATGTCACCAAACACCAGTTTATTTCTTTATCTCCAACATGACTCATGTTAAACGTCTTACTGTCATAATATTGCCGCTCGCCGCCGCCGTCCCAGAGCTCTCCACCACACGCCGTGGTCTCCCTCAGCAGATGGCACTTTGCTCCGTCGTCATGGAGACGGCCTTCAGTTTGTGGTGATAATGAATCTGAGTTGCATCACGGTGTGAACTGTGCACATGGAGTCACCGAGGCGACGGCCACTTCTGCTAACTTGTTTAAGGAAGTGATGACCGTTGCCGCGGCAACAAGCTGTCAAATCACACGCTGAGCTGCACACAGTCCTCTGCACACTTCCTCTGTGTGTGAGAGAGATGAGATGTTTACTCATCACAATAGAAGTCAGTATGTGATGTTTGATGGATGAATCTGATGCTGCGTTCAGGTGTTGTCTCACTGCTGCAGGTGATTTTAACTCCTTCACGTCCTGTCACGTCAGATAAGGTCGTCATGTGTGTGCACCTCAGTGAGGTCGCTGAGTAAATGTGGTAAGAGCACAGAGTGATGTTTAAATAGATCATTTATAAACACTGAGCACACACAAAACGAGGCCTGACAGAGGCGTACGCCATTTCACACGCTAAAGATGTGACCTATAAAAGCAAAACTTGACGGCAGAAGGTGCGCACCTGTAGGGAACCTGTGACCCCTGGACATTTTGGAGATAGATGGCGACGTGGTGAGCTGACGCCAAATTGTAGAAATTAAATGTGAGTGACGTCATTAGTTTTATAATCATGTCTGTTTGCCTCATGCTACACGTTACTTATAGATCCCACTGAGCCCTGACTTTACCATAAACACCCGTCAGTTGTAAAACTTAAAAGCTAACTGACATCGCTGTCTCGCCATCGCCATCGCCTGCAGATCAGAGGAGAGCAGCTGACCCTCGTGGTCAGCGGTGGTGCGCACATCAAACTGCTTTGAATAATTACAAACCAGAGCATCAACAGTTTCTGATAATATCTTCCAACACTGTAAACACAGATCACCACATGCACAATTTTAAAGTGTCAGTTTTTGAGTTGTAAAAACGATGCAGTGAACACGGCTGTGAGCACAGAGCGCACTGGAGACACGCACAAACTAAGCCCACGCCACATCGTGAATGCTAGGTGCTAAGTGTCGTGTGAGGTCAACAGCTCGGTGTCGGATGTTTGCTGCTGAGAGGCTTCTGCCCAAGCAGCAAAATGTGACGAGCAGTGATGAGATGATGTCACACTGTGTGAGCTCGTGGTAACCGGGCAGCAGGAGACGGACGAGGTGGAGGCGGTCCTTCAGCGCTGCATCAGTCAGCAGCAACACCTGATTGGTGGCGATGGGGTTAGAAAATGGTTTCTAAAAGATGCCACAAAATCCTGGAGGGACTCCCTAAAGGAAGTGATACACCTCATCTCTGTGTGACTTCTCATTGGCTCAGAGATCTGGGTCTGCACACCTGAGGAACTGAATCATGGGAAATGTAGGATTTAGTGTGACTGCAGAATCCGATGTTTCCACCTCTGCTGCCGCCTTGTGTTCAGTCTCTCGTTTGTGACCAACTTTATAGAAAAACAGCTGATTGACTCTGTGTGTGTGTGTGTGTGTAGAATGTGGGGAAGAGGATGTCCTGCAGTCAGTTCATCACCAACCTGGAGGGTCTCAACGACGGAAAAGACTTCCCCAAAGATCTGCTGAAGGTACCACACACACACACACACACACACACACACACACACACACACTGTTACACAACTCACACACTTCCACACTGTTACACAACACACTCACACAGGGATCCTTGGCTTGTGTTTGTCAGAGCAGAAAAATAAAAAGAGGAGACGCATTAAATTCAACGCCGTGCAGCCGCCGGGCTGAACCTCTGTGTGTGTGTGTGTGTGTGTGTGTGTGTGTGTGTGTGTTTATTAGTGTGTGTGTGTGTGTGTGTGTGTGTGTGTGTGTGTGTATTAGTGTGTGTGTGTGTGTGTGTGTGTGTGTGTGTGTTTATTAGTGTGTGTGTGTGTGTGTGTGTGTGTGTTTATTAGTGTGTGTGTCTCAGCCTCTCTCTCCCACTCTTTTGTTTCCATCTCAGCCTCCGAGCATTCAACATGAATCTGCGTCACCTCTTCACCTCCATCATCATCATCCTTTTCTGTAACTCTGTTAATGTGTGTGTGTGTGTGTGTGTGTGTGTGTGTGTTGATGATGGAGCGGTGAGTGTGTGGGCAGCAGCAGCTCTGACTCTGACTGAATGCAGTAGATGTATTACAGAAAAATCTGAATTATTTTCAGTCAGAAGAAAAAATGTTTTTAGATTTTCCGAAAAATAAATAAATAAATAAATAAATAAATAAATAATATACTTTATTCATATGGCACATGGGCGTTACGGCGGTACAGTGGTTAGCATTGTTACCTCAATGCAAGAGGGTTCGTGGTTCTCCCAGGCTCCACCCCCCCATGACCCCACACAGGATAAGTAAATGAATGAATGAATATAAATCACACATTCAGTCACAAAGTGCCTCACCCTCACTAGATTCACAAGTCAGTCTTTAGACGCTTTGCTTAACTAAAGACTGATGTCTTTCTCCCTGATTTTGTGTTTAGATGGGCGGATACAATTTCAGAGTTTAAAAAAACTCCCTACGTTGCAGAACCAATAGTAAATCTGCAGGGCGGTCCTTCGGTGGCTGCTGAACTCTTGTGCTCGTAAACATAGTCCCACTAGAAACACGTGTAGCGGTACAAAATGGCTCAGCCTTGCTCGCAGAAAATGCCGTCAAAGTTAGTGGATGTTTGTCGCGTTTGCGGCGACACATTCTCGCCAACTAAAAGAAACAAACATAATCTTTTACAAGGCCATGACTCATCCGTCCGGCCGGACTATAGAGGGAATCGCCTTGTTGTTTACAAATACTTCCAGGTAGAAAACCAGCAGAGCTTTTAGCTATATATATATATATATATATATATATATATATATATGTAGCCTATATATCACATTTTTCACATCACTGTATCACTGTTTGGACTAATCCAATGTTTGTAAAGTCTATAAACACAATGATTGAACAAACATTACTATTTCTGTGTGCACGTTAGCTGTTAGCCCTGTTAGCCGTTAGCGGTGTCTGTAATAGGTAATAACTCATTAAACGGTCCGTGAAAAAAATATCTTTTCCAGCGGATATCTTAGTTACGACGTGATTGAGCTAGCAAAGCAGTTTTGTGTTGCTATGTGTGGTATTTATTCAGTTTTGGGAAATCACGATGTCTAGAAAGCATCAGTGGCTGCAGCTGACAGGGACAGCTAACAGCAGCAGCAAAGCTAACATCAGGACGTCATCTGTTAAAAGCCTCCCGTTGTCGGATACGACATGAAACTACTCCAGTTAGCTCAATCATGTTGTAACTAAGACATCCGCTGGAAAAAATATTTTCTTCACGGATGAGCACACGTTTGATAAAACGGAGTTAAATCTCTCGGCATCCATTTTCAAGCTCTCTGTGTGTTTGTTTTGTTGTTGCCGGCCGTTTTCTCCGGTGTGTTAAACACACTTTAGAAAGGAGTGTCCCCAGACTATCAGAAGGTGGAGATCTCTGATTGTCTGGTGGCGAGACTAATCCTCACTGGCTTTGTGAGTTTCGTGTCACTGCTGCTCAGGTGTTACTGTTCTGCTTCTACTCAGTGTGTGACCAGTCCGGCTGAAAGGTCTCCGTTGCCACAGGTTGATGTTGATGAATGTCTGCAGCTTGTTGATGATGATGATGATGATGATGATGGTTATGGATCCATACAGCAGTACGATTTGAACGCTGGAGCGTTGAGTGAAGTGTTTCTGGATTTCCAGATCTTGTTCAGGATGTTCTTCGTCTGTCCAGGAGTGTCTGTTGATGAAGTCGTCCTTCAGTGTGTAAGACACTGTGCAACTTGGAGGTTAATCGGTTTATTGGTGGTTTGGAATCTTGCGGAGACGACCCTGGAGTTAATGGGCTCCCGATAGATCAGTGCCCTCTGTGCTTCTTAATACCATGTGCGTCCTGAGTGGACTCACTTTTCGATATGTGTCTTCATCATCTCTTTTGCATGTGCGCTCGAAGAGTCTTCATCTCCAAGGTTCTGCGGTTTCTTTCTTTTCATCAGTGTTTGTGTCGTCGTTTTTATCCACTTCACAGGTGACTGGCCTGTGAGTTTCATCAGCGCCGTGTTGGTCAGCTCTACCTGCTTCCACCTCTCATGGCGGGAACTTAGCGGCGGGTTCTGAAATCCTAAATTACAGGTTTTTTTCTTCCGATGAGCAACACATCTGGGTGATGATGTCAAATGTGTGTCAATACATTGAATGTGTTTCTGCTCACAACACTGACACGCCGCCTGCGTCTTCTATACAACTGTCTGTAACTGTAACAGCGCCGCCGTTTCATGTGTGTGACGGACTCACAGCCAATCAGCTCGTTGTGCTAACATCAGCACATGATGCTAACATCAGCACATGATGCTAACAGTAGCACATGTTGTTAACATCAGCACATGATGCTAACATCAGCACATGATGCTAACAGTAGCACATGTTGCTAACAGTAGCACATGTTGCTAACATCAGCACATGTTGCTAACATCAGTGCATGTTGCTAACATCAGCTCATGTTGCTAACAGTAGCACATGTTGTTAACATCAGCACATGTTGCTAACATCAGCACATGTTGCTAACATCAGCACGTTGCTAACAGTAGCACATGTTGATAACAGTAGCACATGTTGCTAACATCAGCACATGTTGCTAACATCAGCACATGTTGCTAACAGTAGCACATGTTGCTAACATCAGCATATGTTGCTAACAGTAGCACATGTTGCTAACATCAGCATATGTTGCTAACAGTAACATATGTTGCTAACATCAGCATATGTTGCTAACAGTAGCACATGTTGCTAACATCAGCACATGTTGCTAATGGCATACAGCTAGAAGTTCCCGGGTGGAACTTTTGCTTCTAAACTTTGGTTCCACCTCACGTGCCTCAGTCTACAGAGGCAAGGCAAGTTTGTCTATAGCACATTTCAGCAATGAGGCAATTCAAAGTGCTTTACATAAAACATACATCAAGTAAAAGCACTAAAGGCAACATAAGACACCGTGACGGTGTCTTATGTTGTTTGAATACTCAAACAGTCACACACACCCTTTAAGTGTATAAGTGTGCAGGTAGTCCGTTAGCTTAAAGAGTAAAAATCAGGGAGCAGAGATGTTTCCCTCCGCTCGTTCTGCACTGAGTGCTCATATCAGAGTGTTTTTTGTGTCACTCCTCACCGCTCGTAGACGGACAAACGTCCCCCGCCACATTCTACAATTAGAAATCGCCATCAAAGGTCATGAGGACTTCTGTCTTCCCAGCAGTCAGTACAGGATGGCACCACACCTCTTGTCGCACCAAACATCGCAGTGGGAACCAGCCTCATCGTCGCTGAGTTCTGCACAGCGACCTCCATTTCTCACGTGTCCACGTTGGAAGGCTCTGTCGCCAGCATACATATGTATTAACTGGTGCCTACGTCGTTACCATGGCAGCCCGTGCAGATGTTGGTGTTATGTGGACACACAAACTGCACACCTGGTGATGATGAGGAGTTCCTGGATGAGCTTCATCCTGCAAGTGGAGGTTCTCCTTCTCCTCCTGTTTGGTGTTGGCTGAATGTGCATTTCAGACAGGAAGTTGTGTTTGGATGTTCCTCCTGCAGGAGTGTGAGCCGATGAGTTACACATCACTGCTTCAGCTGAGGGATTAAACACACACACACACACACACACACACACACACACACACACACATACACACAGTTCTCTCAGCGGTTTAATGAGACGTGAACAGAAAGTAGGAGCTGACTCCTCTTTGCAAATCAAAACTTAAAATCTTGATCATTTAAAACAATTCACTGTTAATTAAGTTTAATAAATTCAAACTTTATTTAGATTAAAAATTATAAATGTTTTAGTTAATTGTGTTTTTGTCCAATAAAAATCCAGTTTTACATTTCAGAGAATCTTTATGTTGAGATGAAGATTCATTTTTTTACTCTGGAATAACCAAAAATAATGATGATTTACAGCCTGTTGTAACTATAATTTAATCTTTCTTTTAACTGAATCAACAACATGAATGTCGCAGCAGAGAACGCTGAGTTAGTCAGTACAAATCTGAGCTTCATGTTTGACTCTGCAGCTGTTTAATGAAATGGAATCTGTGTGTGTGTGTGTGTGTTGATGAATTGTACCTCATTTGCTAATTAATTTCTCTCTCAGCAGTTTGTGTTTTTCCGTCCTAACTCTGATCTGTTTGATCTGAACATAAAGTCCAGAAATATATATCACATTGATAGAACATTTAAAGGTATGAAATGGTAACTGAAATAAAACACATTGAATAAAATATTACAATATATAAAATATGTAAATATGTTAAGAATAAAATGCAGAACTATAAAAAGATAAACTGTGATAACTATCAAATGTTAGATTTTACATACAAATAAAATTTAGTATTAAAAAACATATAAAAAGTATAAAATGTAGTAAATTATAAGTGTATGAAAAAATAAAAACATATTTTAAAAGTATAGTTTTGTAAAATATAAACATATAAAATAAGTATTACATTTAGCAAGATAAAATATATAAAATTCCAAAATTTAGTAAA